TAATATCATAAAGATTTAGGCTATGTAAATTATCTGAACTTAAAGTACTGCTCCATGTTTTATTTCTTTTGTTAATATTGTGATATACCTAATAAAAACATTAACATAATTAGTAGAAACCCTTAATGAAATAATTATTTTTTAAGTATTAAAACATTAAGAAAACAAGCTGGACCAGCACTTTCAAATCACTTTCTATACGCCAACTTACATACGAAGTCATACGTTACACAGAATATGGGAGAGATTCCATATCTGTATTCTTTCACATATAGGAGAGAAACCTCATTATATAAGGTATATATAGATTTAAATAAGTCATTCGCCTAAGAGAAAACCTTCATGAATGTAAGGTTAATCACAGGGCTTTTTAAAGGAATACTGAGTAAAACAATATTTGCTTATGCAGGATATATATAAGAAATCTGTTACAGAACCAAAAACATCTAAATTTCTAAAAACCAAAAACATAAAATAATGCACTTTCTGACTTACTCTGTAACACTCTAAATGTGGTGCTTTTTACTTCCTCGACTGAAGGGAAACTCGTAACGTAATTTCTGAATGTAAATCTAGAAATTACATGCAAGTTATGTCTTCTAATGTTAACAGATCAATAATTGGTATTGTTTTTAATATCATTGCAGTGATACATTCTCTCAGATGTCTGAAGCTTGAGGCCTTTTTGGTTTTATCATTTCAATGGTGTAAAATAAAATGTCGGTTCACTGAACTAGTGATGCACAGTTATGTATTCATTGTATGCATACTGTAATGTTTCAAGTGTTTTCTTTTGAAACTGCCTTTCTCCAAATGTAACCCTTAAGTCATTGTTGTCATAGTAAATATCCAGAAATAACTACTTGAGATGATTTATTAGATTGCAACTTAATTAATTCAAGCTGCAAAAATCTGACCTCACTGCTTCACAATTTATGTTGAAAGGATGGTAAAAATATCCAGTTCTGTTTGAATGGCACTGAAATCTTAAAAACTGCATTCGAACTCAAAATGCAGTTTTTTTCAAGCCATCTTCATAACTCTTAAGTTTCTCTTCATTTACTGAATGTATTGAATTTAATCTAACTGCTCAGCAAAGAGATTAAGTTTTAGTTTAAAAGCTTTGAGATGTGCCCAGATATTATCAATAAATTGATTTTTATCTTGCATCTTGACATTCCAGTTGCTCATGACAAAAGTCCGAAAGCCTTCTAACATTTTCTGAAGGAAGAACGACACAATGTCGTCTTTCAGAACAGCGTATCCGTTCTGCGGGCCTTACACTTCACGCACACGCATTTTTTCAGCACGGCAACCTTCGTCGATTGGCGATGAATGCAGACTTCAGGCACGCATTATAAATTGCTCCGAAGTGTGTATGCTGTTTTTTTTATCCATATACAAAAAATAAATGTTTAAAAGATTTCCGAACATATTTTTGTTTGATATTCCATCCTATATAAAATTTCTTTTGAAATTTATTTGAATTCATATTTTTCACAAAGGCATCTCTCATCCAAATATACAGTCAAAAGTCGTTAATCCGGACTCGTCGGGACTTTGGCGATTCCGGATTATAGATCATCAGTTTAAATCTTGTAAGATGGCATGCATAAATTCTAAAATAAAAAATATGAAACCGTAATTTATGAAATAAAGAACAATTATGATCTAAAGGGTATTAAAATTTACAAAAAAAAAAAAAGCTTAATATTTGTTTACTTTATTAAACATTTCTTTCTATGTAAGTTGTTTAAGTTGCTTCGTTTTATGTGATAATACTTTCTCTTTAATTCTATAAACAGACATAATGTCTTGTTCAGTTACAAAGTTCCGCTGTTCAAGTCCCGTAATTGCTGTGCCGAGAATACCGACTAACTTGTCAATCGAAATTTTTTCGTTTTCACTAACCTCTCTGTCACCTTCTTCATGTTTTTATCCATTTTTTGCAGCAATTCCACTTTTTGTTTGACGGATCCGTTTTGTAGATCCTTTGGGAGGTCCAGCATCGGAAATTCTATTTGACATAATCGAAAGTTCAAGTTTACTTTTATAAATTGCTCTTACAGTCTGCAAAAAATAATAAGCCGCATCCAATTCGAAGATTAAGGAAGAACGCCACCATCAACATTAGCTGAAATAGATAATTTTAACTTATACCGTCCGTTATCATTAAACGCGCACGCGAAAACGTATTCTGCGCTTGCGCACACGCGCAGTTCGTAAAGGTCTTACACGCACGCGTAAACGCCTATGCGCATGTGTCAACGCGGAGCATGCGCAGAAAGTTTTTAGCTATGAGGTCCGGATTATGGGTGTCCGAATTAAAGATTTTTGACTGTAATTGTTAAGTGCTTTGCCATAATCAAGTAACTGGAACTCATTTTTCAATTTTTTCTAATGTAGTTTTTATATTTATCTTTATATCCATATTATATATGTTTTCTTCTTGTTGATTACAACATGTGCACTTTATTTTTCGAGCCTGTATTGGCTAGGTTTGCCATAATATTTTTTGCTCAAACCAGAAGAATTTTGAGAAAATAAAACCTGAAAAAACAACTACTAACAAAAAATAATGAGTTAAAATGAAATTTTAGTAACTCAATATATTAGTCATTATATTTACCATTCGTGTCTAGTGTTTTTATCCCTAGTGTGAACTTTATATTTAACAGTATTGAAAAAAATTCACTGCAATTTAAATGGCTATTAATTTTAAAGATTAGTAAAGCTTCTCTACTGTTGATTCAGCCAATTTACCATTTTTTTAATGATGCTCATAACCGACAATATTCTTTTGAAATGCTGCCAGTGTGTATCATATGCTTGAAAATGTATTTCATCATTTAAATGGCACTGTGCAAATGTGCTTTCTTTGAAATGACTGAAATTTTGCATCCATTTTTTTCCAATTTCATTGACAATATCAGTTGCTTTTGTACTTTCCATAATCAACACAGCTTTGTTAAATAATGCGAGGCGCCCCTGTACAAACCATAAATAGTACATTTCAGTACAATTTTTTATCATCCCTTCAAAATGCTCTTGTGAAATGAAATTTCAAGTATTCTGTCCATAAATTGGTGTTGTTTATGTTGAGTAACTTTTTAGTCTACATATACAAATTCAAAAAAATCTTTTAGTTAGCGACTTAAATTTATAAATAATAATCACACTAAATATAAAAACACAATTAAACCGGTAAGTCACGGCTAACTCTAGCAGTGACAATATTTAATGGAACAACATTAATCGGCAATAGTGTACAACAGATGCCAGCCTATTATGCTGGCGAATCATATCACTGCGCATGCATGAAGAGTTAGCCCCACAGAATGGAGACGCTGTCTTTCAGCTGCCAAACTCACTCGAAAACACATCCTGGACTAACTTATTTTCATGTAATACAGTAACACCAGAGTATTCAGATTGCATGGACTGAAGAAAATCTTTAAATGCCTGTGAGTAAGCCCATGAGATCAAACAATATTTACAAGCTTCACGACTGCATCAAACGCAGGTTTACACAGAGCAACTTGAGTAATGTAGAAAAATCATTGCTCTCGGGATAGCTTTAATAAGAGTTGACGAAATCCATGTTTTTCTGTCATATTTGGTGCTCCATCGGTGGTAATATAACATATATTTGTTTTAGACACTTTGAAAGTTAAAAGCCCTTCCTGTAATTCACGAAAAATATCACATCCCATTGTAGTTCCCTTTAAAGAACGTGTGCACGACAGTTCCTCGGTAATTTCAAAGTTCTCATCAACACCTCTTGTAAATAATAATAATTCAGCAATATCATTTTTATCAGTGCTTTCATCCATAGCTATGGAGCAAAATTTAAACTATCCAGTCCTTCACTATAATTGTGATGTCAAATATGTATCGATGTCTTTGATTCTAGAAGTCGCCGTTTTTTAAGATAAGCTTAGTCTCAAAATTTTTCTCGTCTGGACATAACACATCACAACTTTGAGCAAGCGTTGTTTAACAAACTCCCCATTACTGAGAGCTTTATTATTTTTAGCAATGTTGTATGTTACAAAGTACACTGACTACCAATAAGTATTTGGACACCTGTGATACTTCCTACTTCTAAAAGGAGGAAGTAAAATAAAAAAAATTGTGGAGGCAGCAACCATAAAGAAATATCACAGCTGCAGAAATGGAACGTAAAACAGTCACGTGGGCATGGCCGTTCCTTTAAATGGCAATGGCTGCCCTTTTATCAGATTGTCTCTTGCATAAGCGTTTGCTTAAATGGTCATAACTACAGAAATAATAGGAATTTTTCAATGTGGTTTTTTGCATAGTGCTCAGAAATGTTCATAGAATCAGAATAAATAAAAAAATTGATTTTTTTGAACACTTAAAGGTTCTGTGCCCCCTCAAAGGACTGAACTGACAGACTCCTTTTATTAAGTAATTTATATACAACTTTCTTCATAAATGGCCTATATACAAATTAAATTCTTGGTACAGTTTTAATTCTTACCATAAGTTCTACAATGAACCACAAAATTCATATTATATCTATCAATATGTAACTGAATAAAAAACTTTACCGAGAAAATGAAATTAATAGTGAAACAGTATATTCACCTCTTGCTTGCAACTACTTTCAGAAGAAATTTTTCAAATTAATTTAGTGTACACGTCTTTTAATATATGAATCTGAGTACTTTTGGATGTGAAAGTATATGCAATGATCAATAGTTATGCTAGTGATTTTGCTGTTTATCCAAATGAATGTTTAGATATATTTTTCTCCTTAGAAATAAAAAATTCCTTAGAAATCCATTAAAGATATCAATGTGGGTTTGGGGAGATATATGTGTCATACAAATTTTCATACTGCCAAATTTTAGATTGTGAATAACATCAGAAGGGATAAACAGTTATAAAATGTAAAATTTAGGTACCAATCTCAAGTAGCAAAAGAGCTGTAAAGAACTAAAAAATTACAGCTCTTAAAATTATTTTCACACACATTCTTGTGGTTATTAAGACTTTATTTCACTTTTCAATTAATCAAAAAGTCCAAATCCCATGTCATCTTCACTCTCTTCTGATTCTTCTACTTTCTTTGCTTCCTCCTTTTCTTTAGTTTCACCTCCACCAGCAGGTGCAGCTGTAGTAGTAACTGCAGCAGCAAATTTGGAAGGATCTTTCAAATATTCTTTTGCCTATAATGAAACACAATACAGAAATAATCACAATGCTCTAATTAAAAAATCACTTTAAAATACTAAAATGAATTTAAATAAAGTTTAATATATATTCTTAAAATACATCTTACCGTCTCAGCTTCCTTAAATGTGATGTCCGTTTCCACAGCAACTGCAATCAAATTTTTAAGGCCATTGACAATGGAATGAGGCACTGAAGCTAATGTTGGATATCCAATCTCAAGAGATACAGAGGCAACATTCATAACACCCTAACAAAAAAATGATATCAACATTAAACCTACAATATAACTAAATACCCACAGTAGTTCCAACATCAAAATGTTACAATGTTAATAATAAAAATGCTTATCTAAAAAGTGCAGATGTCAAATAAATAACCTCCAATAATTTGGTGTCAACATTCATTTCAGGACATGTTTCACAGGTGCCCCCACAAAAACTATATACTTTCTTCAGGATTCAAACCAAACAATACACAGTAGAAATAACACTAACCAGTTTTATATAAACGTGGAGAAATGTTTGATGCTTTGTCAACCCATAAATGATTTCTGAACATGCTTTATACCAGGTTGTCTTAAACTGTCGGTTGCAACCCCCATAGCCGCCAAATATTTTTGCAGTTTTGGTATTTATTATAATAATTCTACAATTACCAAATATTTTTACACATTGTATCTGAAAATAGATAAAGATGAGACAATACAGACAAAAGAAAAATGAAAACATTTCAAAGCATTTTTTTAATAATATATGTTCTTTATTACTCAAATGAAGTCAGTCACTCACCCACCGAATTCTCAAAAATGTGTGACAATCTACATATAAATATTTTCAATCACATTACTTCATCTTAATTTTAAAATCATTACTTCCATGAAAAGATACACTAACTGATACATCAAAATGAATTCCAAGTTGACTGTATGCAATTATATATTGAATTTATTTCCATAAAATGCCTAATATTATTTGTACTTCATATGGTCTATCTTCCCAATCATAGCCAAAAATGACTAAGGGAAAATTATGGAATATACACTGCTTCAGTCTTCATCAGCCTCGCGGCTGGAGATATCTATGATCTACGATGAAGTGGAACGGAATATGCTACACAATATCAAGTAGCTCTAAGGCAACGAGTGTTACAGCAGAGTTAACTCCACAGAGGCAACACTAATACATCGTAATAAGTTTTAAAATTACATCACTGTGAAATGGAAACTTGTTAACAGTATACATTCATAATTCCTTTTAAAATTTTCTTTCTTATTCTTAAATTTTCTCTGAAAATTATCAAACCATTCAGAGATTTTGAAATAATAGAGAAAGGATACTTCAGAAATCAGTTTCCACTTACAGAACACTATCACACATAAGTATTTGGCAGTTACTCTGTACACATTGCTCAGATGCAACCCCCCAAAACCAGCGTAAATACATTGAAAACATCTACGCCGTAAATTTAAACATGCTTATTATCATAAAGATAAATCATTTAGACACCTTTTTAAGCCAAATTTCAGATATAGCAGAAAAATTACTTCCTAATGAATACAAAAAAGAGAACACATAAATACACATTAACTACTATATATGCCCCACTCTAAAGCAACATTAAACACAAATGAATCAGTACTTGGTTTTAGTTGCACAATGATTAGCCTCACTCACAAATCTATTGCTGCTCTCCAAAGACATATATTTCAAAGGAACAGACAAGCTTGTCATTTTACAAATCTTGCATACCTCCTGATTAGTAACACTTGTAAAGGTAAACAACCAAGCTTTTGAAATTACATCCATTTCTTAAAAGCTAAAAAATCGCTGGGATGATGACAGTATGCTGCAACTCCACGTTTGCAGACTAAATTAGTGACATTCTTAATTTTTGAGTTGTAAATTATATTATATCCTCTGATTACTTAAATTTGAAATATAAGAAATGCAATAGCATCATTGGTCGATAAGTTTCCCTGAAAATGAGAGGCTTTGGCGACAGACACAGTGCAGATTACAAAAATCCATTGACACCGGCCGTGAAGCTACGATCTCAAGGTTCCTGCTCAAACAGGATAAAGCAATTCCCAGACTTTCCCATGTTTATTTTAGGAAAATTCTAGTCAATCAGCATAGTGTACGTTGGCTGTGCTAAGAGCTAAATTATGTACCACTTGAAAATTAAAATTGTCAATTACATATGATTTTTATTTGGCTATTTAATGTATGAATATAAAAATTAACTTTGGGTTTTGGTATTCATCAATACAAACTATTTTTTGAGTTTGGGAAAGGAAGGGGGGAATGGTCTTCTACAAGGTACAATGGGTAAACAGATTATGAACCACAACTATTGATATATAAATATCGCCTAATTACGTCCTTTACATTAGCAAAAAGGAACTAGTGACAATATTTACTGATAACTCATTGTGTTAAATGCTAACAGTACACAGAACACACAATAATTATAACAAATTAAAAAATCTGAAATGTTTGAAAATTTAAATTACGTCAAAGGGGGAGTTTTCTTAATGCTTTGTGTGTTGCCTTTATTTATTAAATATTATGTTCTAGGTATTCAAACTATAAAACTCAGTTCAACAGCAATACCGCAAATTAATTTTAAAATGAGCATATCTTTAGAATTTCCGCAAAAATTCGGTTAAGTGTTACAAAGATTCTTCATTATATAAAAGACAGAGCAATAATATATAGTGGCAACAATTTGTAAAGTGATACAGCATTCTTAAGTTTCCGATGCAAAATGCCACAATGAAATTGTCTCTCAGGGCAAATTGCCCCTTTGGACTAACAATATATTTCTTAATACAGGGTTGCCACCCAAACAGGAGAATGAAATTCCCTGAGTTTTCCAGGTATGTTTCAAGAAAATTCAAGTCTATCCGCGTAATGTATGTTGGCTGTGCTAAGAGGTAAATTTTCAACGATATTCATTTTATGAACTCTTGATAACGTAACCTTCGAACTTCAACACCGGCTTCGAGCTTTGGCGACAGATATATCAGCTATAATGGAAAGGAGCCACGTCTGTTGCAGAGGATTTCTTTCTTACAATACATATTTTTTGATTCTAACCTTCATGGTACCGTATACTAGGATTAAACCCATTTTGTTTTTATACGAGAACAGGTACTTTCTTCAGTACCTGCACTGCACATGCGATTCTCGAGGTTACTGGAAACCAAAAGTTGCAGGAAACTTGCTTTCCTGCCTTTAAAAAGACAATCAAATTGGAGTTGCGAAAATTGGCTCTATGCCAGCTGCCCGAATGACACTCACGTGATACACAATTCGCCAAAAAAGTGATCTCTTCCGACGTCAGTGCAGAACTCGCCTTTATTGGCGGGATCGTTGTATGAAATTCCCTGACTTTGACTAAAACACTTAAATTCCCCGACTTTTTTTGCTCAATTTCCGAATTCCCTGACTTTTTCCGATTTTCCAGGTAACGTGGCAAACATGTTAATATTTCTGCAATTTACAAATGGTGAAATGCATTGATAAAGCTTTTACGCTGTTATATTAAATTTACTATTTACAATAAAATGTTCAATAGCATGTTCAAATATTTTCAGAAAATAAGTAATAGTTATCTGTACTTTGCATGGTCTATCTTCCCAATCATAGCCAACAATGACTATGGGAAGCTTATGGAATATACACTGCTTCAGCCTTCATCAGCCTGAGGGCTGGAGACATCTTGAATCTACGATGCAGTGGCATGGAATATGCTACACAATATCAAGTAGCTCCAAGGCCACGAGTGCTACTCACAGCAGAGTTAAATCCACAGAGGCAACACTAATACATCGATCAGATATATTACAGTATTCCAAAGACAAATGAATAGATAGTTTTCTAATTACATTATCAAAAGGAAAACAGCAATACTGTGTATGAATATAGTGGAAATGTTTATTAAAATATGAAAAAACTGTTTAACTGTTGTAAAAAAATGGGAGCATACAAATACTTAGAATGAACACTGTATCTACCTATATCCAGAACTCATACATGCAAGGAAGACTACACAATTTAGCTGTACTTTGCCAATCATGAATGCTTATGCTGAAAATTACCTCAGAACACAGGTTTCTTCACAGAACACTAGTGCAAATGAGTAATAGGCAGTTACTCCACACACAGTGCTCAGACGCAAATTACATCATCACAGGTAATTTAAATACCACTTATACAGCATATAAAATTTTTCATATAGCAGAAACAATATGACCTGCACATGAATGTAAAATGGATGAGTTTATGCCATTTCATAAAGCAGGGCATCTCAACCGGGCATGAGGAAATGAATACAATTATCATTTTATTTACATTTTAAGTATTTACTTTATGACATTATTTGAGTTTCGGTATTCACCAGTTAGCAGCCAGGCGGGTTGCAACACACTTGTATTTTACATAAACCCATGCACAATTTGTTGTTAAATTTATAAATTATGTTAAAAATAATCTAAGTAATGGTACATACATATTTTCCGAGTTTAGGAAAGCAAGGGGGGAATGCTCTTTTAGCACGGGTAAAAGGGCTTATCTAGTAAGAAAGGTAATGAATACAGTATGTACTCGTAATAAATTTATATTCTTTTAAATTCTTTGTTTAGAAATGCCTACGTGCCCTGATAAGTATGTATGCTGTTACACTAAATTTACTTATAATAAAATGCTGAAAAGCATTTGTACTCCCTCCAAAGCCAAACATTTCGCATACTGGAAACAGTATTACACTCTGCATGAAAACACACTAATCTCAGTACACTTCATGCAATTACATTTTATATATATATATATTTTCATCAAAAGCTTAATATTTATCTGTACTTTGTATGGTCTATCTTCCCAATCATAGCCAAAAATGACTATGGGAAGGTTATGGAATATACACTGCTTCAGCCTTCATCAGC